AGTTGTATGATTTTGGAGTAGAGCTAATTGCCAAAGCAGAAAGAACGTATTCTTTTCTTCTAATCTTTAGTTAACATAGAGAAGGTTGACCAGTTAATCCCACCTTTAGAAAGACTTAAATAGACCAGCTTCCACTACCACAGAGTATGGCCAAAAGCAAATGCCTCCTGACAATATCCTTCTAGTGTGAGTGCCTGCTTTGGTGAAATGGAATGTGCCACAAGGAAGGCATGGTTTGCCTCCCAAGAGGAATAAGAACCGAATGGCTTAGTTTAATTGTGGTCTCCCCTCATGACTTTAGAGATAAGTAAAAGATGAATAGGTGTGTTTGAAGAAACACTCAATTTCTGATGCCAATACTGAAAAATAGCCAAGGATGTGGCCTCATGGTTTCTTTGAATTACATTATCCCCAGACTTGCCATTCAATGTGCAAATAATGCAAATTGTATTTCATTGGAATTACTGAGTATTAACCAGATAAAAATGGGATTTCTCTAACAAGGACACCGCAGTGGCATTAGACCTCACAGAAGACGTGTACCTGTTGTGCTTTGAACAGCCCCAGGGGCCTAGTTATCGTTCCCTTAGTGTTTGGGTTGAATTTAATTGCTGGACTTAGTGAAGCCAGGCAGCCACTCAGTTCTCCTTGCAGGACTGGGCCCCTGGTGAGGCTTCACTTGGCTGTGGTAGTCCTTGTTTGTTCTCTTCTTGGGTCATTTCCCAGTAAACCAGATTGTGTTGCTAGAGCCTGATGCAGGAGGCCTCGTTTAATTGTTTCTTGAAAAATGAAAACTGTTGAAATTTCAGATTTTTTAAGGGATGGAATGCTCTGACCCCCCTTCTCTTTGAGTACCTTTTCTGTGAAAGTGCCAAGATGGCAAAATTACAAAAGAAAACAGTATTACAGTTATACTACTACATGTGGAACATTGAACTCTTATTAAAGCAGTGCTCTTCAAAATACAACACAGATATCTGTCTCTAGGTTTAGCTAAAGCTTTAAAAAATAATTCTTTTGTGTATTTAAATCAGAGTAACTTTCTGTATTGAGTGCAGTGTTTTTACTTTTTTTTCCCCCTCTCATGCACATGTTATGTTGGAGAAAATGTTTACAAAAATGGTTTTGTTACATACACTAATGTGCATCACATATTTATGGTTTATTTTTAAGTGATTTTTTTTTATGGGCTACTTAGGTTTTCGTCTTAGTTAGTAGTATGCATTTGGTGATTCATAATCCCTAATTCTTCCAACTATAAATTTGCTGAATAGTAATACAAATGACAAACTGCATTAACTTCACTAATCCTGGAACTGCCAAGGCAGACTGGTGGCAAGTACACACTCGGCCTTTTTTGGGTTTTGTTTTGTTTTTTTGTTTTTGTTTTTCTGCGCAGTGCTAACTCGTCTTCTGTGTATTATGAAAATCATTGTTGTCCCTCCCCCTTTTTCCCTTGAATAAATTAAAAATGACATCTATTTTATGTGGCACGTGTTTCGAGTATGTTCTGGGCCTTCAGCATGCTTGCTGCCTTAAGGATCCTTCCTCCCTGCCACCCTGTCAGGTCAGGGTGGGCCTGGCGCGAGCCTGCCATCACACAGTGGCCTCATCCCAGGCATGGTTTACAAAAACTGCACACATGTCTTAAGGATCTTGGAGATGAAATAGACAGTGAGCCCTCCACTGCTGTGTTCCTAAAGCCAACCCATAAAAAGTAGACCCTTAAAGAAGAAAGTGCTATTTTTTGCAAAACTGAACCGTTTTTTATTTTTTTAAAGCAAACCTAGTTCCTGTCTGATGTTACTGTTATGCGCTATTGAGTCAGAACTAACCTTCCAGCAGATTTTCAGAAGCAGTAAATCATACGAGATTGCTCTCCAGTAGAATGGGGACAACAGTCTGACCTCAAGTTGAGGAGATGTGGTGGCAGAGTCTGTAGGAAGCTGTGCTGCTAACCCAGAGGGAGGCAGTTTGAACCATCAGCTCCTCTGAGAGACAGAAGGACAGTTCCTCCTGCAGTTACAGCCTCAGAAACCTGCAGTCAGCTATGAGTTGGTTTCGGCTCAATTTGAGTTTCTCAAATTGTGCGTACCAATTGCCGGCAAGTAAAGTCCGTCCAGCTTCTCACTTGTGTGACCCCATGCATATCAGAGTAGATATGTGCCTGATTTTTTTTACACGCAGATTTCCAGACAATTCTGTTGAGGCATCTCTGAGTAATTTAACCCTACAACCTTTGGATTAACAGCCAAACACACCCTCTCTTTGCCACCCAGAAGCAACGGGCTCATGAACATACAAAGAAAACCCCACTGCCTTGGCAGCAATTCCAACTCCTAAATCTTCAGGAAGTGAGAGGAGACCATCTCATCTCTATCCTGTGGCCTAGCTGGTGACTCCATAATAATAAAAGACTCTGGAATGATTTGAGCTCCTCTGTTGTTAGATCACTGTGGGTAAGCTCCGGGCTTGTGTGTCTGTTGATTCCTGGAAGGTCTGGCGTCCATTGACTACTCTGGATACTCCCTCAGGTAACACACCTCATCTAAGCCTGCAGAACCAGAGAGGGACAGTCTTGGCTGTCCATCCCCAAACAATGCTGCATCCTCGATTGTAATGCATTAATAATCAGCCATGAAGTACAACATTTTCTCTTCGGTGCAAATAAAAGTGTAAAGTCCAAGGCCACCTAGTGGTTATAAATTTATGCTGCACCATGTACATTGCAGCTGCTGATGAGTAGGAATTTTCATCAGGAGTGCTGTTTTCCTTGGAACATTACTTCTTTCTATTCCAGTTTTTCTCTCCATTGGTTGGGATCTCAACCAGGATCAGATCAACATCTGTTGTGGAAACCGGCTCTGTGCCTTGGCATCACATTAAAGGATATCGCAAAATTGATGTACTATCAACCAGCCATTTGTTTGAAAAAATAAT